CACAGGCAAGGGGTTATGTTGGTAAGAGGTGTATATTATATTTTCTCAGATGCTTCATAGGAAATTACGACATATAAAGATTTGAATAGTTTCTTTATTAAATTTATTTGTGCTATACCAATTTGATAGCAGTTTTTTGAGAGTATATAAATCAACTCCCATACTTAGCACAGTAATCAAATCTCTAAATTTTTAAAACTGTACTACAGAGCTACTCTCTCCCCAGACTCTCCATGGGATGTTAATAAAAGTACGAGGGGAGAGGAAGAGGTAGAGAGAAAATTCAGAATTGCTAGTTTAAAAGTATTTTGTGAAGCCCTTTTAAAAAAAAGATGCAAAGGTGGACTGGCAGACTGGGAAGCTCTAAGTGTGAAGGGAGGAGAGTATCATTAACACAGAGATATGCAAAAAACAACATGAATGACAAACACTCTATACATACTCAAAACTGTATGTTACAACTTCAGAGTTCTTGAGTTAAATCCAAAAGAGAGAGAGAGTCCAACTATCAGGAATATTGCCTCAGAAAAAAAATATATTTACAGTTTCAAGCTAAGAGCAGTCAAGAAACTATCCCTCATTCTCCAAAACAAGAAATTTTTGTGTGCCATATTCGTAAAAATTATTTTCCCAAGGCAAGTAGTAGAAACTGGAGTGCTTTGACACGCTGCCAGCATTCATAGTGATTTAAAGGCATGACCATGGCACTGCTACAAACCATAATTTAAAAGGGTTGGAAGCTGCCCTGTTATAATAAGAATACAAGAATATACATATATGGACTTAATCGTGGACCTCTGTTATAAAATTCAACACATGTATTAATCCATTTATGGTGGGAAATTTTTAGTTTTCAGCCACTTCTAAATCAATTAGAAATTCTGAACAGATGTATGTTATAATCAAGTAACATTAAAAAAATAAAATGCAACTGTTTTATTTGAGGGATTTAACAAAGGTAAGGCAAAAACAGTAATTCTGCTACTTAATATGATAACCGACCTATGGTTACAATTATATTAACTGTGCCTTCAACATACAATGATTGACTATAAACTCCTTGAAACCTTAGGTTTGTGTCATACATTTTATAAATACCTATTATCTCTACGTATTACTTGACAGCGTGCCTAACACATAGTGGCTCTCATTGGGTAGGTATCAGGCTTCTTCAACTTTTTATTTTCCTCTAGTCTTGTGATCACTGCCACACTGAAGAAGGGTAGAGCACACAGTTAAAGGAAACCATTGTCCACAAGGACGACTATATCACCATGCTCACACTTCAGAGATGATAGACTGGTACAGTTAAGCGTTCACTGGCCATAAGTGTGAACACATGCATTCTAGTTTCTAATGTGCCATGGAGAAAGGCACAATAGGAAGGTTTTGAAAAGCTTTGGGTTCAAATTCAGCTTTGCCATCTATAAGCCATGACTTTGGTAAGTTATTTAACTTCCCTAAGTCTTTGATTTCTCATGCATAATAAAATAGGTATTAGGAGAGTTAGGTATAATTAGGTTCAGAAAGTACTGTAGTAAGTAGAATTTTAAGATGGCTCCTACGACCTTTGTGCCCTGATGTTATCCCCCTCAAAATTATGTCACTTTATGTGACAAATGGGAGGTTTTCCAGGCGTGCCAAATCCAATCACGTGAGCCCTTGAAAAAAGATGAATTTTCTCTGGCAGAAGAGGAAGTCGGAGAGATCTGAGGTGCAGGAAGGATTCCAGAAGGGGCTATATGTCAAGGAATACAGTGGCTTCAAGAAGCTGGGAACAGTCCCCAGCTGACTGCTGCAAGGAAATCGAGACCTCAGTCCTCCAAACACAGAAATTGAATTTTACCAACAAGAATGAGCTTGAAAGAAGATTCTTCCCCAAAGCTTCCAAATGAGAACCTTGCCTGGTCAACACTTTGATTTTAGCTTTGTGTAACCCTAAGCAGAGAACCTGGCTAAGCCAGCCCCTCTCCTCCAGACTTCCAACCTAAAGAATAAATGGACGTAGAGTTAATTATTAGGTGGTGTTTTAACTTGGTAAGTTTGTGGCAACTTGTTATGCAGCAATAGAAAAGTATTACAAGTGCTTAGTGGTATGTGACACACAGAAATCATTCACAAATCATATCATATATAGTTTAATAACTCATGGGCTCAAAAAGTCATTTCAACTTCTTTGATCTGTAAAATGAAGTTTGACTAGTTAAGTCAGAAGTTCCAGCCTAAATTTCATAAGTCTAAGGATTCCTTCTTAGCTTTCTGCAACTATGGTGACCCAATTTGATCTGGTATCTTCCATTCACCTCTCCAGATTCATTCTCCATGCTTCAGTACTCTGCTATTCCCCATAGGGCTCCTAAGGACTGAATCAGTGGGCTCCCTGTCACCAGCAATGGGACAGTGGGAGGCACCAGCAAGAAATCAGTGATGAAAAAGAGTGAGTCTGGGTTTTTATTTCCTGGCTTCCTATATGTATACAACATGATAATGGGGAGAATGATCTCTAACTTAACTTGGGTGTGTATAAGAGCAGGAAAAGGGTGTGCCATGAACTGAATTGTGTCCTCCTACATGTATTTACTAAAGCCCTAACCCCTATAATGTGAAGTAACTGGGGCTTTTAGGAAGTAACTAAGTTTAAAAGAGGTCATAATAGGAGGACCACAATCCAAGAATCGGTGGCCTTCTAAGAAGAGGAAGAAAGGTCTTTCCCTCTATTTCTCTCTACAGACTTGCAGCAAGGAAAGGCCATGTGAGCACATGGTGAGAAGGCAGCCGTCTGCAAACCAGGAAGAGAGCCCTCACCAGAACTCAATCATGTTGGTACCTGATCTTGGACTTTTCAGCCTATGGATATGTGAGAAAATAATAATCTGTTTAAGCTACTAACTCCATGCTATTTTGTTATGGCAGCCCAAGCAGACTAACATAGGTGGCTAGGAAGATTTCTCAAAGGGAGAACTTGAGTGGAGACTTTCTGTTTCCTAGTGGTGGCAGGTAGGGTCTTTCCAGGCAAAGAACACATGCAATAAGGCACAGACATTTCAGGTAATAGCATGTATCAAGCAGCTGGAGCACAGGGAACCTGGAAGGTTAGTGAGAGAGGCTGGAAAAGCAAGGAGAGTCCAGATGTTGAGTTTTAACATCAAAGGCCAAAGAATTGCCAAAAGGATTAAATCCAGCGGGAAAGCACTGATGGTTTTTATGTCATTAGAAGTATAGCATCTATTTTCAAAAGATCATCCTTATAGTTGTGTGGAAGGTTAGACAGGTAAAGAGGGAGAGAATAGTTTAACTCTGATTTTTGAAATGTGCCCCATGAAGCCCTGAGGGTCCCAAACCAAGTATCACCATGAAGATGGAGGAGATCAAGTGGACAGGGTCCTGGAACCCCATGTACACCTCAACCATAGAAGTTCTGTGGCCTAGACTAAACTGGGAATCTTTGCTACCCTCAGGACAACTAGTCTAGGATGTTACTTCAAAGACTGTACTGAAAAATGCCTGCATCTGAAAGTCAAGGCACTTGCTCAGGTTTTCCAGTTACGGTAAAAAAAAAAAAAAGTTGGGGACTTACTGAAAAGTCTAACTAAGAGAGTAATGTGTCTTGACTCATGCCAGGAGGATGAAAGAACTAAGAAATACCATCTGAATGGATCCAGCTGTAGAGGCCATATCCAACGCCCTAGATTTTTATGGCTCTTAGATTCTCAGACTATACCAAGTTGCTTAAAAGAGTCTGTTTGATAAAACTAAAATAAAAAAGGTGATTTTCATGCCATGGAGATTTACTCTTGTCTGATGTTTTTATCTGAAAATATCAGATTAAAGTGATCTGCAATAGAAAAACAATATAGAGCAAATAAAACTTACTATTAACCAATGTGCTTTACAAAAAAGGTGAGATTTTTTAGGGATTAGCTTTAAAAAAACTCACAAGCAGTTTTTGGAAATTGCATAGCTTAACCAAAAAGAATATAGATTGAGTATCCCTTATCTGAAATGCTTGGGATGATATGTGTTTCAGACTTTGGGTTTTGTTTTTATTTTAAGTGTGGAAAATCTGCATAAACATAATGAGGAATCTTGGGGATGGGATCCAAATCTAAACATGAAATTCACTTATGTTTCATATTCACTTTATACACATATCCTGAAGGCAATTTTATAGAATATTTTAAATACTTTTGCACACGAAACTAAATTTTGATGGTATTTTGACTGCAACTCGTCACATGGTCAGGTACATGAAATTCTTCACATGTGGCAACATGTCGGTGCTCAAAAATATTTGGATTTTAGAACATTGCAGATTTTAGGTTAGTGGATTAGGGATGTTTAACCTATTATTTTAAGACTATAAGGTAAAAACTATGTCCAGCAGAGGGCAGTGCAGCCTTCTGCAAAGTCAACTGGTAGGCGTAATAAAGTGGTGAGCACAATTAAGAGTTGAAATATTTTGATCCATGACAACTATTTTGTGTTCAGTGACTTTACCTTCTTAGAACAGAACTGACATAGTGCCTATCTGCTACGTTCCATGAAAAGGTAGTAGAAGGAAGAGCTATTTATTAAGTCTTGTAAAAACTTCCTTAGAATATTTTAGCTCCCTAAAAATAAAGAACTGTATCTTAATTTCTGGGAGGTTTCCATTGCCTTCACTATATAAAACAACTGTCTTTGTTTCTTAGCATGTGTTAAATAAACTAGTTTTTAAAAGAGCCTAATATCCCAAATTATATTCATTTACATTCCCCTTTAACTTACACTGTACACAGACCCACTGGCTAATGAAACTATCAATTCTAAAGAGTTCACTCAGTCCTTAGCTAGAGGAAGATAGAACAGTTTCATGTTTTATTCATTTTTTTAAGAAAAGAAAATAACAGATCTGCAATTTAGTAACCATGCCAGAGGGCTTGCAAGATATCTCCACTATCTGGAGAAGCATTGCTAAAATGTGTGAATTACTAATGTGGTCATAGTTTTCAAAACAATACCTCCAGAAGTGCAGTTCGAATCCTTCACACTTTTCTTTGCATTTTAAACAAGGGGCTCCAAATCCTTGCTCGTGACCTAAGCCCATCTGTTAAAGAGAAAACAATGTGAATCTATTATTAGAGTCTTTAAAAAAATCTAAAAAATTCAATAAATTGTACTTTTTATTCCCTTACCACTTGTGTTGACATAACTTTCAAACAAATCTTTTATGAGCATTACAATGTTTAGTCAATGATGACACCCAGGTATGTATATGGCAGCTCTGAGTACATACATAACATGCTTTTTATTCTTATTTCCTTTTATCACGCAAAGCATCGGAAAATGCATAGAAGACTACAAATATACAAGTAACAAAAAATCATGAATTTATGTCTTTGGTTACTACATGCCCTGGATACAACAGGTACAGGGAGCATTTCAGAAAACTAAAACTTAAAGAGCAAGTCTGGTCCCCAATAACATATTTTTGCCGCAAACAAGGAATGTATGGAAGATTTTAGGAACTAAGATTGAGGCCGGGTGCGGTGGTTTCCGCCTGTAATCCCAGCACTTTGGGGGTCGAGGTGAGAGGACTGCCTAACCTCAGGGTTCAAGACCAGCCTGGGCAACTTAGTGAGACCTTGTCTCTACAACAAATCAAAAATAAGCCAGGTGTGGTAGCGCGTGCCTGTAGTTCTAGCTACTTGGAAGGCTGAGACAGGACTGCCTGAGCCCAGCAGGTTGAGGCTGCAGTGGCCATGAGCGTGCCACCGCACTCTAGCCTGGGTGACAGAGTGAGACTCTGACTAAAAAAAAAAAAAAAAAAAAAATTGAAATATTATTTCGTATTCTGCTATTTATTCTGATAAATATAATAATAATAATAGCAACGATAGACATTTATTGAACACCAGTAGTGTATGCCTTGAATGTTTGTGTCCCTCCAAAACTCACCCTGCAACTTAATCACCAATGCAATGGTATTAAGAAGTGGGTCTTATGTAGGTTCAATGATTGTAACAAATGTACCACTGTGGTAGGGGATGTCGAGGTGGAGAATGTTGAAAGTGGGAGATGTTGGCAGTGGGGAGGTGGCTGTGCATATGTAGGGGCAGGAGATATACAAGCACTCTCTGTACTTTCAGCTCAATAATGCTGTGAACCTAAAATCGCTCTAAAAAATAGTCTATAAAAAAAAGGAGGTGGGTCTTTATGAAATGATAGGTGATTAGCCCACGAGGTCTCCACCCTCATGGCTGGGATCAGTGCCCCGATAAAAAGGCTTCAGGAAGTGAGTTCATCCTGTCCATCTCTTCTGCTCCTCCCTCCATGTGAAGATGCAGCAACAAGGTACCATGTAGGAAGAAGAAAGCAAGTCTACACTAGACACTGAATCTGCCAGTGCCTTGATCCTGGACTTTCCAGTCCCTAAAACAGTGAGAAATCAATTTTTAATCATTGCAAATTACCCAGTCTAAGGTATTTTGTTACAGCAGCAGGAACAAAGAAAGACATTCAGGAATGGCACTTACATCTCACTAAAATCTTACCAAACTTCATAAAATGCTTATCAAATAGGCAATAATTTTCCATTTTAGAAATGACTTAACAGAAACTCAGAGAGGTTACAGAACTTGCTTAAGATCAAAGTGTTAATAAATGGTAGAGAAGAGATTTGAGTACAAGTCTTTCTGACTCCAAGGTCTGTGCGCTTATGTCCGTGGTGGGGTGGAGGGTTATGCTGTCATCTTTTATAGTAAGCCATTCTTTTTTTATTTGCCATATTAAACAAGAATCCTTGGAAACTTGCTGAGACAAGGCCTAATAAGCAGAAGGGGTGGGGAACAGATGGGGGAAGGACACGAAACAGCAATATAAGGTCTTTTAGTCAACTACTGATAATTTTTTTAAAAAGTCACATCAGCAGTGGCAAACCACCAGTGATCAGAATATCCCATGTTTTAAATAATCGTATCAGTGACTGTGACAAATCAGTTATTAGTGCCTAGAGTAATAGTTCAAGCTAGACAAATAATAGATCTTTTTCTATGGCCTTCTTTTGTAACTTTACCAAGTTGTGTTTGCAACTATGCAATCAAAACCACAGTGCTACTTGTTCCTTGAAAGATCAGCCTGACGTGCCCTAAAGTTTAAGTGGAGTCCTTCCTTTTGTTCTGAAGAACATGACCATATCCCCTTACTGTAACTAAGGCCATGTTCAAACCCAGCTGGTTCCCCTAGTGTTTATGAGAGCCCATGTTATTTTTAAGTTAGACCATCTCAAGTATACAACCCTGCCCAACATGAATTAAACTTTATCACTATCAATTTTCAAAAGAACTGAAATTCTCCAAATTGTATACTTAACATCAACACTAAACTTATTTTTAGGAATCAAATTATTTCCTTGTCAATGAAGCTCACAGTTCACAGTACAGAAATAAAATAGGTTAAACAAAACAGAAAGGGAGACTGAGTTTTCTGGTCTTTTATAAGGAGTAAAACCAAGAATTTTCTCCTTTACAATATCCACAGTAAAATGAAAAGCAAATATAAACAAGTATATTATTTTTCAAGCCCTTTCTCATTTCCCATTACGAGGTAATCCTGAATCCACCTAGTGTATAGATCTGCTTCATAACTGTGTTCCGCATACCTTCTGCTAAATAAACTCTGATCCAAGATAAAAATCAAGACACTAAGGCTTAATCATAGTTTAGCTTAAATCAGTGGCTAAACTCTTGTGTGTAAACTCACAATATGGAATATATTCATCTTGTGACACAGAACTTGCATATGCTCATACAAACTTATGTGTGAGTATATGCATATAAAAATCCTCAGATTTACTGGCTCAGGTAATATCTAGAACTAAGCTTGCTTCTGCCTGTAAATTAAATGGTCACCTAAACAAATTCTTGCCTACTTTCAAACCTGAGTTGCCTGGTCGGAACAACACAGGGCTTAATAAAATACTACAAGCATACTGGCACAATACCATCTCATTCTCTATTTCTGAATGCAACTTGAATGTTTAGCTTATATAATTAGAACCTCGATTAGTTAACAAAGTTTGTACGCTAAGGTTTTGGTGTAGCTCACTGCTAACTTACAAAGTCAACTTTGCAACAGGGCAAGTTATTTCTTTCCTGGTATCTGTTTATATTAGAATTATTAGGACTGGTAGTATTTCATGAACATCTGCTCTTTTGAAATTTGTCACAAATTCTTATAGGTGTCCCCCATCACATAAGAGATGAGGAAACTAAAATTCAGAGAGGAAAGATGATTTGCTCCTGGTTACACAGCTACCGAGCAGCAAACTAGACTTAAAACCCAGGTCTAGTTCCCGCTCCACTCTTCTGCTGGGGCAGCTGACTAGAGAGTATCAAATGGGAGCTCTTCATTCTTCTTCTTCTTCTTTTTCTTTAAGATTTCATCTTATTTAATTAATTAATTAATTAATTTTTTGAGTTGGAGTCTCACTCTGTTGCCCAGGCTGGAGTGCAGTGGCACACTCACGGCCACTCCAGTGTCAACCTGCTGGACTCCAGCGATCCTTCCACCTCAGCCTTCAAAGTAGCCGAAACTACAGACCTGCACCACCATGCCCAGCTAATTGTTGATTTTTATTGTAGAGACAAGGTCTTGTCAAGTTGCCCAGGCTGATCTTGAAACCACGGGCACAGGCAATCCACTCGCCTCAACCTCTCAAAGTGCTAGGATTATAGACTGAACCACTGAGTCAGGTCTTCTTCAGTCTTCTAAAGAGAGTTAATGGCTCATTTCTGCCCCCAAGGACTACAAAATCCAGAAACCCTCCAGGAGATGTAATCCAGAAACCCTCCTGTAGAAATGTAGATGACTTTCTGAGATCTCTGAAAAGGAAAGACTTGAATCAGTTTAGGGAGGTTGGGGGAGCTTTTTTAGAAGGAGGGGAACACGAATCACCATTGCAAGAATAAGCAGCATCTAACAGCTCAGAGAAGGAAGTTCATTCAGACCTGAAGAAACACATCGGCAAAGGCCTATAGCAGGAGAGGGCAAGGCAAGAGCCAAAAACATCACGGAGCTCTTGACGGGTGATAGGGTTGGCCTTGTAGCAGGCAGTGGTTTGGTTGTTTTCCTTTTCTTTTTCCTTTTCCAAGGAAATCTCCTGATGCATTCAGGACCACGTTTTAGGCTGCCAGCCTTAACAGAGAAGACATCCCGAGAGACAGGATGAGACTGGTAAAGTGGAAGTGCTATAGAAAAGTCACAGAGCAATGGGGGGTGGGGTATAGAGCACCTCTCAAGCTCTATTATGGAACTGCAGGGCACTCAGAGAGACCAGGAGACCCGGCTTTGGGAAAAGCAGCAATTGGAGAAACTGGCTCTGCAGGCTGCTCTGGAACACTCAGAAAGCACGGCCTCGGGGTTCTTCCCACCTTGCTGGCCCCGCCTGCAGGGCCAACTTAATCTCCTTATGGGCTCTTCTGGCTCTTTCGATAAGATTTCTGAGCATGCCCCCACCCCCACCTTTCTAAACACACAATCACTTTCATCTTCACCACAAGCTCACACAGAAGAAGAAATAGGGGAACTCTGAAAACATCATAGAGAGCAAGTAAGTGAAAGAGTGGAATGAGGTCATGGCAATAGGATACTCTCTCTCCTGCTATAACCCAACGGCAGCAGTCCTAACTAAAAAGAAGCATTTAAACAAAACACAAAAAAACACCTAGTTTCCAAAATCACTGTTAGCAGCTGAAGCAATTAGAGGTTCAGACTGGCAATGAACTTATTTTCCTGAGCGAATTTCAATAAGAGAAATTATTTTATGGCTACAAGCATATAGCTACAAAACTTAAGCCTCACTGGCACCAGCACTGACGATCTCTAATTTATACCACCTACTGAGTGAGAACTCTTCCCACATTTTCATCTTCTTATCAATCTGTTAGGATAAAAAAGCACAATGACACTCAAAAAAAGATGATCTACACTCTAGTATTTTTGCCGTTTAGAATGTGCCTAGTTTCCAACTGAATTAGTATGCAGTTGTTAAATCCAATTTATATTATAAAACTGCATTGTAGCAGACATACCTCCAATGTTTGAGGC